CGATCCAATATTGAATGAATAATGATATAGCAATATCGGAATTTCATTGTTTCCTCAACCCAATATTGGCAATATTGCCCAAGATCTAGCCAACGTACCCAATGTCGGTCCAGCATTGGGCCAATATATGGTGCTATTGGGGTCGAGCAAAAACGAATGGCAAAACTCGACCTTCTATCATCGTCTCAAGTTTGCCGTTCATCTCTGGAGCGAACTCTCCCAAGCGAGAGTCCCATTTAGCACAGGCAAAAGGCAAAAAAGCAGAATACACCGTAATTCATGGGAATCACTCGATATGCAGGTAAAAGATCCATATTGGGAATCGTGAAAGGGTTCATTGGGGACGAATCGACTGTAACGGTCGGGATTTTCTAAGCAGACGAAAGTGGGCCGGAAGGCAAAACGTCCTTCTCCCCTCCACCCCCGCACACACACCCCCACACACCCCCCAGCCAATGGTATAAAAGCAGAAAGATTCACCGTCCTTCTCACTTCATATCTACTACTGTCTGCAGCGTCTCCTACCTCTGGTAAGTCCTCTTCGTTTCATCCTGATGTATTCTATTGTCTGATAGTATTTTCGAGTGTTTAGGAAGCCTTTGTCTTCATGTTAGTTTTTCGTTTTTTCTTTCGTTCTTGGCTTCACCCTGTAAACATGTCACTGAGATACATCTATAAGCCCTGTTCTACACGGATGTGTAGAATTGGACTATTGGATTAATGCAATTGATGATTCCTGTTTCTTTTACAGGAGGACACTCCTCGTCAGGACGTGCCAGTCATGGAAAGCTCCCTAGACCAGCTTGGATGAACTAGAATGTTTTCACCAGAAAGAGGACCCATGGTCATCTCGCATCTTTAACCTCGGCACGGAACGTCGGATTTCCCAAGCGAGAAGAGCGTCCTCTGGCGGTTCATAATTCTCGCCGGCATAAGAATGAATGAAATCCAGACGAGTGCTGGAAATGATGAGTTTTCTTTCCACTTTCCATTTCCCGGCCATTTGTCCGATCATATTCACGTTGAAAAGTTTCACTCTAGCTATGGTTCTTAATCTTTTATTACCAACGGTACGCCTTTTGGTCAAGGAGACAGTGGCGGCAAGCCTGCTTAGTTTCATGTACCACCAGAACCAATATTGGCCTAAATATAGTGAAATCTGGGACGTTTTTCCATGGAATAAGTGCTAAGGAGTCACTATTACGCCTATCGCTTTGAGAATATCCATACAAGCTTAGAGGTGGAGTATTCCGAGGAGAGAACGAATGATTCGTGCTCATATGCCCCATCAGGATACAATGCCATCTTGCGGAATCAAAGAACCTGTCTCCTGAACCTCTTTGTCATGTATCAGCTGGCGTATCAGCAGTACCAACTGTCCCTTGAAAAATTAACGTTCATTTAATTCTGAGACGGGCATACCACGGTGGAGCGTACCACCTCACTTGATGTGGTATGCTCCACCTCTAAGCAATTTAGGCAAGAGTGCTGAAAAAAAATCTGGCAAGCATTACAACATCCTGAAATAAATATCCGATGTAATTTTTTTGCTGAATTTACGAAATTGTGTTTCTCCTATAGAAAACGCTATAGTGTTTCGTTTAGCCACGCTACAATTGAAAAGTTCCTGCTATTCTTTCAAACGATTCAAGGTTTTGTCACGTCGATGCATGTATCATCGTCGATGTTCTGACGCTATGTCTCCCTGACCCATGCCAATCCCCAAGATGGGGAGAAGAGAGCGAATCTCCTCCCCATTTTTTCTGAGCCCAATCTGTAAATTTCATATCGCAAAAGGCACATCCTCGGATGATGAAGATTTATGTTGAAACCCCCAGTTCATATCTCGAAGCGTTTCATCCGTGGAACCGTCACGCACACGAACGCGTATTTGTCCCTTCGCGGTCAAGATCGCACACGGTTTGAATGACGCAAATAATAATTGCATGAATCCAAATCACAGTACATGAAAGAGCATGGATTCAGATTTATTCTGTAAGCGGATATAGATGTATGACGAAAACAATAATGATTAATCCTGGCACCTTTTTTCTGCCTCATCGTAACTGGAATGCTATGAATAATACTCCAATATTTTTTTCCCAACATCCGGAAACAAATAATTCCCTCCATTTTCAACACTTCTTTATGATTAATGACATTTCATTATACTGATAAAGACGAAGCCCTTTAATTAATTTATTTTAAAGAACTATTTGATTTGCTTCATTACTTCGGTGACGGTAACTTCAAGGTGAAGCACACTACTTTTTATCCGCTGCAAATACACGGATTTTGTCCCTTTTTGCTACCACGACTAAGCCCCGAAGTTGCGATTCTCTCTCACCACATTCCACAAAGCTCCTTTCGTTGCGATCCATCGAATCCCCTTTTGTACCAGAGACTACAGCATACGTTCCACATCATTCTATGCCGCCATTTCCATCACATTGCGAAAATTGAAGGCGAAGTCTTCCTTCATCCCCAAGACTGAAGATGTTCAGGTTCCTGCCACTGCTGACGCGGAGCTTTACCCAAGTTGACCGACTTCATTTGTTTCGCTTTGCATCCATATTCTTCAGAGTGGATGCAAAGTTTGCCAGACCGTAGCAAGGAAGGGATTTTATCTTCTGTCACGTTTAATTTATATGCCGTCATGCCTTCTGATTTTTTTTAAAACAAGCCCTATTCTTTTGCCGCAGCAACCGGCATTTCATCGAGGATCTCTTGCATTTTCTTCAGGCCATGCAAGCGAGATTTGTGCGCGTCTTCTGGCACATTTTGACGGATAAACGTCTCCAACGTTTGGAGATTTTTTGTCTTCATCCATTCGGATTAACCCATGCATGACTGTGGGCAGAAAGTCTTTCAAATCTGATGGCGTTTCGCCCATCACATTGAGAAGGGTCAGGTCAGCCAGTCCAGTGGCAAATGTAGCATTATCTCGCCTTCGGGAGTAATCGTCTGAAAATTCGGGGCTCTCAATCCCTCTATATCAAGTGACTCACCTTCTTCATTCGAACATTGAAAGGGGAAAAACTGCATATCCTTTTGTGCAACTTCCCGTTCGAACTAAAAAGTCCGATCCGAAAATTGTGTTGAGCATAGTTGACGGGTTTGACTTGCCCGAACTTTGAATGCCAATCACTGAGAGCAACCAGATCTTCCGTACTCTGCTTTTCATGAAGTTGAAGATATGATACGATAGGGAAGTCGAAGGTTCTGTCGCAAGGCGACTGGTTCTGTCGGGTGGCGCGATGTCGAGCTTTTCCGATTCAGTACTCGGGACAGTTTCATGCGTGGTGCTGCTGCATTTTTTCAACATCAATTACCTTTAATGAATTACCTTTCTTCAACCGGCGACAAAATTCCACCGTCTCGTATTCCTTTCAGAAAAAAATCAACAGGAACAAAATTTGGCATACTTCTAAACACATGCTCCCTAAACACAGAATCGATCCAGCAAATATGCAGCTCCATCTCCCTGAGTTTGTTGAGATCATTGAATCTCGCTTTTCGGAGATGTCGATTTCGTTCCTGACGTTTTTTCCCCCCAACCCCTGGGGTGGCCACTCCTGGGAAATTTTCAAAGAAAGCGAACTTCCAAATGAAAGACCTCTTGGTGACAAAAAGTGTCATTTTTTGTTTCTTCCAAAGCATCATTTTGCAAAAAAAGAGAAAGAAATCAGATGCCGTTAATTAATAATTTAATAATTTAGGCTTAGTGCGATGGCTACCAGTGTTGTTGGATATCGTGCCTTAGTTATGCCAGATCCATGATTCTACTGCCTTGATATCAGGTGTCTGGATCTTCTGTATTTTAATGCGTGATATATTTATGCGTCGAGTTCATTACATGAGCTAAGATTGAAATGGTGGCCAGCGGATCTGGAGATATCTCATTGACAACCGTAAATTAGCAGTAAGGCGGTCAACTTATATGTGAGGCTTTCTAAGGGCCTCTTCTTCTCGGAACGAGTCGAGACAGTTCGAAGAACTCTGCATAGGCCTAACGTTCTTTATCCGCACCGAAATGTTTCATGAAACTCAAAACAGACCTACATTCGGTCCGACGTTACAGGATCTCTGTTAAATGGACTATGAGAGACTGAATATGCCTGCGATTGGCCTAACGTTCCACACATTCGACGAAGTGTCTGGAAGACCAGGGATTAATAATTATAGGCGTAATTGGTTTGTAGGTCGAGAATTGAGTTTCTTTTGAACCAAAAAAAGGTAGGCCTAGGCCTCATCCAAAGACAGTCCTTCGCTCCGGCCTTGGTCTAACATCAGTGAGTTCCGTGGAGAATGTAAACGGTGGGTGGGGGGTTGAGGTTGAATAAAGGTAAACTATTGAAAATTGGTTTTCACGTGACTACATATCGCATTTCTTTACTGTGATACCATCTCATGCCCCTTGAACAATACCATGGAAGAGCCTGAAGCTCAGAATTCATTACCTTATGGTGGCTTTGGATGGCATTCATTCTCGAAGATAGGGATTTTCTTCTCGAGGAATGCAGTAATGAGTGTGACGTGAAATACGTTGAAGATACGTTGAACTATCTTGCGATGTCCTATGAATGGGAAACCTTGTGAAAATCCACAAAAGATTTACTCGTGATCTCACTCAGACGAGATGATGCCTTCACCCGAAAAAAAAGAAAAGCGATCTACCTGTGAAAGCGATATGAACTGAAGGGAGAAGAGAAGGCACGATAAAACAGTCCGAGGGCTGCGAAATGATATGAAAACCGAGGATGCCGAACCATATACCCCTCTGCAGCGACTAAAACCTGGGAATTGCACACCACTGGGCGTCGTTGGTGTACATTCCGATGAAGCTGTCCACGTAATCTGCAACGGATACGAAACGCGTGTGGAATGCTTCCCAAGGCTTGGACGGAGAATCACCGACTGAAGGAATTTCGGGAACACTCACTTGCCGTCGCCGCGAATGCAGCGCCGTACTGTGGGTCGCATCCTTTCGTGAACGAGTTGATCCCGACGTTGAAGTAGAACGATCCTGGGATTCGGTGCATCAACGGTCCACCGGAATCCCCCTGGAAAATAAGACACGAGTGGACTCACTTTGCACGAACTCCGTAGCTCTTCGATCCTTGTCTCGAGACTTACGTGGCAGATATCCTTTCCAGCCTTCTGCGCGCAGATGAAGTTTTTCGTGAATAGGGATCCGTAGTTCTTTTGGCAAACAGAGTCGCTCGCGGTCTGAAGATTCGCCTCCAGCATTGTTACTGTGGGGATGCCGAGGTGTGAAACTGGAAATCAAGTGGATATTCTCGATTGCAACATCTCCAGAAAAGACACACTGAACCCGCCCTTCCCCAATCTCCCTACATAGCAAAGACATCGCGCCCCATCCGGCGACAGTCACCGGCACCCCATCGACGGAAACGCCGGGTTTGGGGAGGCAGATCGGCCGAATGTGCGGGTAGCCTTGGAAGTCCGCCGGCATTTCCAGCTTCAGCAAGGGGATGTCGTGGTCGATCGCCGTCACGGTCGATCCGGATTTCCTTATCAGGAATTGCTCATGGGGGATGGCCCGAGCTGGGGTCTGTATCGATACGCTTTCCGACGACGAATATCGATTCAAATCTCCCAGGACCACATAGTAGGTGGCGGAGGGACTGAAGAAAATAGAACGGAAGAAGGAGGATAATTTCTTCGCACAGTTCCATTCTTACTATAATCCTATTTCCTTTGTGAATATTTCTTGTCCGTTGAAATCAATTTCTCATTACATTGGAAGAAAGAGCGAAAATCGCGAAATTTTAAACTCCTATTCGGCACACGTTCCCTTCATTTTAGTTTTCTTGCTAACGATAAAATGTGGGAGTGAAAATGATTGGAAAACTCACTTCTCATAGACGCAGTGGGCGGCCGTCAGGACGTATCGATCGTTGATGAGTGACCCACCGCAATGCACCGACAGCGTCGTCGGATTCAGCCTGATCCACACCATCCAGGGATATTTCTTCTGGCTGGGCACGACCGTGCCTCCGACGCTGCGGTCCAGTCCCGTCGAGTTCGCCGGGGCGTCCCCGGATCTCTTGCCCGGGTACTGGGACATTCCGCAGTCTGGAAACGTCAAAGGAGAATTCCAGGAAGAGGGAAATGAGATAATTAACCCAACTCGAGCAATGCGGACGATCCTTTCTTGAACTTAGTGCAAGCAGCTTTTTTACCTGGAAAAAAGAAAGAAAGAAATCATCGTTATTTGAGACGCTCTTGGATTTCGCATGACAAGAGTACATCCGAATTCTGCTGATTCAGTGTGGATACAAAGTCACCAGATTAATTAAAACGGAAAATGAAATTCCTTTTTTAAATTTAATCATATTTGATGCATATTCAATGTTTACAAATTAATAAAGCCATTGTTTAATCGATGCCCATCACGAGAAACTCTCACGATTATTTAATGTCTGGCATTAATATTGTATTTAAATATGTCCAAATGGGATAAGTTGCTTTGTAAGGAAACAGGCATCATCCAGCGACTTCGTGTCAACGCTTTGAGCATTTTCTCCGTGTGTGACCATCAGAGACCACAACTGACCACAGGTGACAGTGCATTTGAGTCCTGGTCCGGTGTAACCTGCGGCATAAAGACGGGCGGAGAGTGTTCTCCCAACATTTACTGGATTTTGAAAGTAAGTGCTCGTTCCACAGATTCTGGAAAAACGAAAGTCCATGAAGATGTTACATCGGACGTGAAATTCGTATTTTTTGCATCATTCGAAGCTCACGTCTTTCCATTGAAAGTGAAGCCGCCCCAGATGCAGAAGAGATTCCACGGGAGTCTCACATCGGAGCATTGGACCGTCATGTCCACCGGACACTGCGATGAGACACCGGAAACGCGCAAGTTTTTCATCTCGCGGTGATTCCGTTCGAGAAGAGCCGAGAGAGAGCGAAAAGCTCACCGAGAACTTCCAGGTGCAGGAGTGCGAGCTGGGATAATTGTTGGGATAATTCTGGCTGGTGAGCGGGGTGGCCATTCCGAGGAAGAAGGACAGGTCGATCCCGCATTTCGGCGCCTGCCGATTCTCTAAGGAAAAAAATCTCTTCGTTCCCATCTCACAGATTTCTATCAGAATTATTTCGAAATGCGACGAGTGGGAACGTTTGGCATGGGGAGAAATGCAGTGGAGAACGCCAGATGCGTGGGTGTAATTCAGACTCATTTCTTTTGGTCGTGCAACTCGGTTCTGTTATGACCGAGGATCACGTTGAAAAGTGGTCACGTGCTTTTGACAAATTGACGGAAATCGATGAGCAAAATGAGGGAGGGAAAGGACTTTTCAAACTGGAAGAAAAAGTTAGTGGTTATTCTCAGGAAAGAGAGAGACGAGCGACTGTATTTCCTTGTTTATAGAGGGTAAAATTCCGATCTCCAGTTTCGCTCCGTTTTTCGGAAATCGCTCGCTCTTTTCAAGGAGTTCTGGCCAATTTGAGGAAATTTATGTCTCTGTGTTGACGCGCTCGTGAGACCGTATGACACGATTGTCCTCGCAGTTTCTCTCGCGTTCGATCCCCCCCTTTAATCCCCCCGAATCCCCACGGATCCCTCCCTGCTCGTCTTCGAAGTCGTTCAAAGCGATTCAGGTCCTACCGGATCCGACGTTCGCCCTTCTCCCCCACTTGGCGAGCTCGAACCCTTCGAACCTCTACGGAAGCGCCGCGAGATGAAAAACTTGCGCGTTTCCGGTGTCTCATCGCAGTGTCCGGTGGACATGACGGTCCAATGCTCCGATGTGAGACTCCCGTGGAATCTCTTCTGCATCTGGGGCGGCTTCACTTTCAATGGAAAGACGTGAGCTTCGAATGATGCAAAAAATACGAATTTCACGTCCGATGTAACATCTTCATGGACTTTCGTTTTTCCAGAATCTGTGGAACGAGCACTTACTTTCAAAATCCAGTAAATGTTGGGAGAACACTCTCCGCCCGTCTTTATGCCGCAGGTTACACCGGACCAGGACTCAAATGCACTGTCACCTGTGGTCAGTTGTGGTCTCTGATGGTCACACACGGAGAAAATGCTCAAAGCGTTGACACGAAGTCGCTGGATGATGCCTGTTTCCTTACAAAGCAACTTATCCCATTTGGACATATTTAAATACAATATTAATGCCAGACATTAAATAATCGTGAGAGTTTCTCGTGATGGGCATCGATTAAACAATGGCTTTATTAATTTGTAAACATTGAATATGCATCAAATATGATTAAATTTAAAAAAGGAATTTCATTTTCCGTTTTAATTAATCTGGTGACTTTGTATCCACACTGAATCAGCAGAATTCGGATGTACTCTTGTCATGCGAAATCCAAGAGCGTCTCAAATAACGATGATTTCTTTCTTTCTTTTTTCCAGGTAAAAAAGCTGCTTGCACTNGCAAGAAATTTACATTGTTTGCAAAAAATTGATATCTTGATTACGTGAACATGCTGCTTGGGTAATTTAAATGTTACACAATGCCACCACAACGCTGGGAAGTCTAGTGGCTGGTGGTTTAGAGACAGGAGATTGGAGCGGTCCTTCTCATCGTCGCAGATGGGTCGTCACGACAGTTTGCTCATGAAGCTGGCGGCTTTGGTGAAGAACGCGACGAAGAGGTCCCTCAGTAGCACCCCGATACTGGGTCAATATATACCGCCAAGATGTATTCATCTTGGCTCTACGCTGGCACCCATCTTGGACCATTATTGGCATTACTACACGGGAAAAAATTATTGGACCAATATTGGCGTTAACCTTTTCCACTCGAATTTTTGCAAGAGTCAATGTACCAATGGGCGAGTGGAATAGGTTAATATTTTCCCTCATTATTTTTCTCCAGTGGAGGCATTTCACTATGCAGTACTAGTACGGCCTGTAATAGTATAACCCCTTGCCCATGCACAAGTCTCTCCCGTGCATAAGCAGGAGACATAGAACAGTACAATGGTTGACTGCCCCTGAACATACTACTGGTAAATTACAGGTGAAGGTCAACTCCTTATTGTTCTACAAAGAACTTGTGAACTCAGTCCCTCATATCCTTATTATGTCCTCAAGATATGGAAAGAACAAATACTTTCAACGTTCTAATACTCCTTTGGATTGGAGTATTATTGTGCTCGTAGGGGCTCTCATAGGGAATATGAACTTGATTATTTCCTGGACTCCAAGATTCTGTCTCGAATTTGCGAATAACAAATGATGAATTGTCCGAGTTTATCGATTGCTAGAATGAGACTAGGCGAGACATATAGCGAGGTACTAAACACTCCTGTGAAGGACGATTACATGGAAAGAGGGAAGGGTACTTCTGTGTACTGTGAGAAAAGCGAGACCTATTCCACCATCAGATAACTTCAAGTGCGGTCGGGCACATTGGACCACCGCATCGATCCAATATTGAATGAATAATGATATAGCTATATCGGAATTTCATTCTTTCCTCAACCCAATATTGGCAATATTGCCCATGATCTAGCCAACGTACCCAATGTCGGTCCAGCATTGGGCCAATATATGGTGCTATTGGGGTCGAGCAAAAACGAATGGCAAAACTCGACCTTCTATCATCGTCTCAAGTTTGCCGTTCTTCTCTGGAGCGAACTCTCCCAAGCGAGAGTCCCATTTGGCACAGGCAAAAGGCAAAAAAGCAGAATCCACTGTAATACATGGGAATCACTCGATATACATGTAAAAGATCCATATTGGGAATCGTGAAAGGGTTCATTGGGGACGAATCGATTGTAACGGTCGGGATTTTCTAAGCAGACGAAAGTGGGCCGGAAGGCAAAACGTCCTTCTCCCCTCCACCCCCGCACACACACCCCCACACACCCCCCAGCCAATGGTATAAAAGCAGAAAGATTCACCGTCCCTCTCACAGTCATCTGCTACTGTCTGCAGCGCCTCCTACGTTTGGTAAGTCCTCTTCGTTTCATCCTGATTTATTCTATTGTCTGATAGTATTTTCGAGTGTTTAGGAAGCCTTTGTCTTCATGTTAGTTTTTCCTTCTGAGATTTACCGGAGAATATTTTCTTTGTATGTGATCCGGCAGCAACAGTCATATCATATAATTCATGTGGATGTATCATGGTGCTAACGTAGGAATGCTCATGTTACTGCCCCTTCCCGTTGCAAAGATTCATTGTTTAATAATAAATAAGCCAATCGGTTCATCCATGCTGATCACGGAAAAATAATCACGAATATTTCGTGTCTGACATTAATATAATATTTTAAAACATTCAAGAACACGTCATCCTCCAGCGACTTCGTTTCCACGCTGCAAGCATTTAATCCACAAGTGACCATAACTGACCGCAGGTGACAGTGCAAATGAATCCTGGTCCGGTGAAACCTGCGGCATGAAGACGGGCGGAGAGAGTTCTCCCTACATTTACAGGGTTCTGAAAGTAAGTGCTCGTTCCACAGATTCTGGAGAGAAAAAAAAATTTCACGATGTTACCCCGGTCGTGAAATTCGTCTTCGTTGCATCATCCGAAGGCTCACGTCTTTCCATTGAAAGTGAAGCCGCCCAAGACGCAGAGGGGGGTCACCGGGAGTCTCATATCGGAGCATTGGATCGTCATGTCCACCGGACAATGCGATGAGACACCGGAGGTCGTAAGTTTTTCATCTCACGTTGATCCCGTTCGAGAAGAGCCGAGAAAGCGAAAACCTCACCGAGAACTTCCAGGAGCATAAGTACCAGCTGGGATAATTGTCGGGATAATTGGGGCTGATGAGCGGGGTGGCCATTCCGGGGAGGAGGGGCAGGTCGACCCCGCATGTCAGCGCCTGCCGATTCTCTAAGGAGGAAAAAAATCTCATCGATCCCATCTTGCAGATCTCTGCCAGATTTGTTTCGAAATGCGGAACGTTTGGCATGGGGCGAAACCCCGCGGAAAATCCCAGATGCGTGGGTTGAAGCCGTAGGCATTTCTTTCGGTCGTGCGACTCAGTTCATTTATGACGGAGGATCGCGTTGAAATGAGGTCAAGGTCACGTGATCGATCGTGTCGCTCGAAAGGCCCTTGTGATCCGGTCAAGAAGGTGCACATTGACGGAAATCCTCAACGAAAATGACGAATCTAATAGTGAGCGATTTCCGAATAAGGGAGTAAACTGTAGTTAGCGCTTTTACTCCTTAAAAACCATTAAGTATAAATGATAACTACTTACTTATATGAGCAGAATCCGTAACTTCTTTTAGAGCGCGAAACGAGGAAGGGAGTGTATGTTTCAGACTTGTAGAATAAGTTCGTGGTTATTCTCAGGAAAGAGATAATGAGCGGCTGTACTTCGTTGTTTATAGAGGTTAAAATTACCAACTCCTGTTTCCCTCCCTTTTTCGGAAATCACCCATTCTTTGCAGAGGTTTTTGGCAAAATTAAGGGATATCGGGAAAATGTCGACTTAGAAGACGTCAAGAGGGTCAATTCAGCGAAACGGGTCTCGGTGAAAGCAGATTCCTGCTTGCAACTGATATCTCGACGCCGACGCGTGCGTCAGACCAGCCGACACGAAGGTCCTCTCCATTTCCCCCGCGTCTGATCCCCCTTGAATCCACCCATGTCGCCACGAATCCCCCCCATGTCGCCACGAATCCCCCCCATGTCGCCACGAATCCCCCCACGTCGCCACGAATCCCTCCCGGCTCGTCTTCGAAGTCGTTCGAAGCGATTCAGGTTCAATCTGATGGATTCGCGTTCGCCCTTCTCCCCCGCCCAGTGAGCTTGTGGCTTTCGAACTTCCATGGAAGCGCCGGCTCCACCTCCGCCCCCTCATGCCCTTCCGCCTTTTCCTCCATCTATTCTATTGACTTTCGCCACCGCAGGTGTTCGCTCGACTCATGTAACTGAGTTACCACGAAAATTGACTGACTCGATTTGACATTACTGAGTAGAACCAGCCATTGCGATTCCAATCGTGACACAATCTCGACTGAAAATCATCTGATTCATCGGCCCATAGCATATATTATATGCTATAAAATATCGTACCTGCATTGCCCATAGAAGGAAGCGAAGCTTCGGCATCTATTCCTCTTCTCTTCCCTTCCCCCTGGTAAGAAAATTTTCCAATTTTTAAATTCTAATCATCAAACTATTCATTTCAGACATGCACGAGCCTCACTGGATTGAAATGATGTTGGCCTAAGGAAGTTTAGAATCTTTATG